TTCGAAGTTAATGAAGATACAAAAGCGAACTTTTGGCAATAACATATCCATGATAATAATAACACAATTTTCATAAAAAATTTAATTTCTAGACGCGTTTCGCCAACACATCATGGATAGTCTTATTAACTTTCATCAAGTAACGGGTCGGTCAATTCATTATAGCAATAACATTTGCATAAAAATCTACTTATTCACCCATTTACAACTTGTTCACCCTTTTAGAGACGGCACGATAAGGCTGCACTCCAATATTTCAAATGGAATTCTATATCGATATGTAGCTCATTTTGAAGTCCTTGAAGAAAAAACATTTCTGTACAAACTAGAGGTCTCCACAGTTACCCGTTTCCGATTAATAAAGAAGGGCCATAATAATTGTCAAAAACTTTTTTATGAAATGTTGAAAATGGCTAATACCGACCTCTTGACAATACTAGAGTCTACTTTCTGCCCTTACATTTGTCGGAATTTCTGGTGTTATTAGCACACACATCTGTGATTCGTTGTTCTTGCAAGTTTATTGGTTTTGCGAAAATACCTACACATTTACGTTCCCCCCACATAAATGTGTGGAGGTGCCCCATCCTGTTGAAAAATTGTATCGTAGTCGAATCATTTTCAGGAGCAGCTACAATCTCAGGTGTGTATTTTTTCTGAAAGATGCAAGTATAAGTGCCCGGTAAGATTTCCGTTGATTTAAAAATTATCAATTATCGCATTACCCATAATTCCGGCTCCTAAGTAACTTTCTCGGGTTTTCGTGTGTGGTATTCTTCAATCCATCGAGTATTGTGATTACTCCAGTGTCATGAATTAAGTGTTGCATGGTTACACAAAACTGCAGTCTTCGATCTGGGTCATCTTCATTCTTTTTTTGTACAAGATGGAATTCAAAGGGATGAAATTTATTCTGTTTTAAAATGTTATGCACTGTTGATTTACCTGTACCTACAGCGCCAGATATTGTATGTAATAGTACCCACAACTTGAGTTTGAAGCTCCTCGGTTTGAACGGACGGGCGACCAGATCTTGAAGCGTCTTTTACTCAAAAAAATGTGAATTTTTGCACAACACTTCTCACGTAACTATAATAGAAGAAACTGATCTATCTGGGAAAACATCATTAAACAATCTTGCAGCCTCACAATAATTTCGATTTGCTTGTTTATAAAATAAAACTATTTCAACTTTGTGTTTCTTTCAAGCAACTGACGGTGTCTGAAACAGCACATTTCAACTCCAATAATCCAAATTTTTTACCAAGAAAATCAATTAATAAGAAAGTCAGAACGCAGTGAAAATATTTTAGATAAAGATTTATCGGAAATATCTCTTCGAACGCTGAGTCAACCAATAATTTCGTGAACGAGAAGTTCGCAGAAACTGCAACTAATTGAAGTCATCGACTTCTAGTCTCCTTCGTCTGACAAAGTGACCTGCCACTTAGTTTATATTCCGATTGGATAGCTATCGTTCGTTGAAAATTATTTTCTGCTTCCTTCAGAAGGGAAACATAAGATTCATAAGATGATTATTCTATAGGCTGGTGAAACTTCATTTTTATTTTTATCATTTTGAAAAATCAAATATTCGGCTTTCTGATGACCTTCAAGAAACTTCTTAATTAGGCTAGACTTTTGGCCAGCTAAGCCTACCTATATATGATTATTACAGTTGAAAGAGGTGGCAGTATAAGTATTATATCCGATATTCACCATTACAGACGTTCCGAAGATAACTGACCAACATAATATTTTTTCCAGTTTAATTTTTTTAAAACTGATGGTATGCAGTAGTAAATTTTCTTTTATACTGGTTATTGAAAAAAATATTATTTGACATGTTATACAGTGTGATTAAATTGCCGTAAACTCTCGCTGTCTTTGGGACAAAAGTATTACATATTTCCTATCAGTATCAGTATTTTCATTTCATTTCTCACTGAAACTAAAATTTTACTTTTTCAGTTTAGTAACGATTGCATTTAAGTGGGTATTATGTGTGTTAGCCTTGGGAATGACAAAATAGATAATACTATCATGAAACTTCAGACTTCAGAACACAATAATAATAATAACTCCAATCTGTCACACTCGTGTGAAAAATGCTATTTTTAAAACTGGTATAGTGAATTAACCATTTCATTATTCAACTGTAATATTTATTAGAAAAATAACTTGACACTATCCTTGAGTGTTCTAATTCCATATCCTTCATTAGTAATCTCTTATTCCTGGAAGTCCGTTGACGGCTAAGATAATCAGCCACAACTATTTCAACATTTGCACCTATAAAAATAACCGCAAATGACGATGAAAAAATGTTACATGCCTATATATCTTATCATCTGTTGCAAGTGTACTATTGGTTATTTTCGTTATTTCCTGAACAAGCTGTAGAGTTATTTACCGCTGAATCAGCTGGATTGCCCCATAAGATTACTCCTGAAAGAACTATTTTTCGCACAATGGAATTTCAAAAATTGGAAATTGAAATTGATTCTAGTTTTGCCATCAATTCGTTTGAAAAGTTACTCGGCAACTTGGTACAGATTTGTGGAGCATATTCAACTAATTAATTATCAGTTCAAAAAATATATTTGTAAAAAGATTATCTCATTGAAAATTTCAAAACAAATGGGACATTGTAGAAATAATTTCTAGATCTGAACAATGTATAGTATTATTTTTTACTTACTAATTTTCCATTCTTCATATAATAAGTAGAAAACCAAATAGGATTTCATAATAAAAATGTAACTCCACAAAACATACTTCATTAATTGATTTTCAAATTATACAATTATTTTTCTCGGAGAACGGTCAAAAAAAGCCAGAACGGATGGATTTTTTTATAATGCTTCAACAACTATCACGACATAATATTTCAGTCAGATCTTCCGTACTATGATAATTCGTATGCATAATATTGACACTGAAGAATCTGCCGTTCTTTCTAGATTAGTCATGAATAATGAGCAGTTACCTCTAGATCCGATTTAATTATTAAAAATGATTTTAAAGAAAGGATTGAAAATCCATCACGATGTTTTGACACACTTGACTCACTTACATGTTCTATGTTTCATTACAAAAGTAAGTATAACGATTAAGAGCGTTATATCCTTGATCAACTACCAGAGGAGCGCTGTTTCGATCTGCAATAGATCACATTAATAATACTAAGCTGGATCATGAATGAAATGTTACTCATTTGCCGTAACTCTGGCAATCCTCAACATTTTGAGGGATGATGATATTTTTTACATCCTACTTCCACCCTTTGCATTACATAGCGAAACAATCAAAAATTTAAATTTTAACTTACGTAACATTTTATTGTGATGCACTGTTTGGAACCTTTGGTGTAGTAATGAATAATGAATATTTCCCCAACACCAAAAAGTTATATCAACACCTTGACACGTGTTTCGATAGGAAGATTGAACTAGTCTAGTTTAATCTTCCTCTTGAAGATGATCACTTGGTGATCGAAACACATGTCAAGGTGTTGAAATAACTGTTTGGTGTTGGGAAAAAACTCAAGTGATATTCACCTAACATTGTTTTGTTTTCCCTTTTTCAGAGAAAAAAGAGGCTGATGAAAGTTTGTGTTTTATCACGCATTTGGTTGATGAAGCATGTGTATTCTTTTGTAATCCTAACTTTAGATCCGACTCATTTTATCCTTTTTGATTGCTGTTATACATAAAAAAGAGACAACATTTATTGTGTATTCATTTTCGGGGTCTTGTGCAGTCTTCTCACTGAAGTTTGTGCTACTTACTTCTTGGAGTTGAAACTTTCCGTGTTGTTGGAGAGACTAAATTCTTCATTATTTCCTTTGTAGTCGAATAATGCTGATTAGATTGAAAATTAAGGAACTCTGACTCGTAAGTTAGTGTGGCTCCTCATTATTTTCAACCTATTTTGAGATTCCTTCTCCATTGTGAAAGTTATGTATCACCTTGGGCTGAATTACCTCATCTACCAGTGTGTATAAACATTCTTAAAAAGAGTTCAAAACCAAATTTAATATATACCATATAGGAATTTTAAATTTACAACTGCTCAAACTGAGAAACACCAAAAAATTAGTTATTTCTCCATTCCACCAAATGTTGTATTGTTTTTTGAATGCACTTATATAGCATTCCGTCATCTTTGGAATGATGAATAATTTCATTCCAATTATCATTAATTTTGGGAGCTGTAACCGTTTGCAGGTAATATGAATTATCTTGTTTTTGATCATAGAAATAATTAAATCTAAAACTTAGCATATGTATTATATAATTGTTCTTCTACAACAGGGAGTTTGAAACAAACTTGGGTATGTTTACAAATTCTACCTGTATCCCCAAATCTTCTTGATTCAAATAGAGAAATTGGTATCTAATTAAAACGTGCCACATCTGTTGCACTTTCAGAAAAATATTTGAATAGGTGAGAATAATTAGCATAGAGGTTTTAAGTTGAATAGAAAATACTTCCAATTTCAAATTTTACTATTTTCTACATTTCTTATAATGCATAAGTTAATATCAATAGAATTATTATATTTTGCAGATGTATCTAAAGCCCTCCATAAACTATATTCGGGAATATATTTTTGTATTGAATTTGATCTCATTATTTTCAAAAAAACCTGAAATATAAAGAGAACCGTTGAAATAAAACGATTAGAGTTTCTGATGATCACATTTCAAAGGAGATTGTAGAGGTACCCCCTTACTTATCTATAAAACATACAATATGTTTGCATTTATATACCCATATTCTTCAGTTTTCAAACGTCAAGTGTATAACACGAATATTATTTCCACAAAGTAGACTAGTTGTTATTTTCTACATGAATATTGCTTTCCTTCTTTTCCTCGCAAATTAAATTTGCAACGTGTATGGTCGACATTACCTAGTTCCTTCCTCACTTAGTCTTGGAACTTGACAATCAAATCGCAAGTGTGTATCGAGGAAAGTTCAAGTCAAATCACTATGCAGAGGTGGTACTAAATGGTTAGTACCTCGCGACAGCTGTTGAGTGCAGGACGGGTTTTCAGAGGCCAACTTGATTCGCATTAAGTCAATATAAACACTGTTAGTATCGTATCAAATGAAAACGATGTGGAAACGAGTGATAATTTCGGTGATGGCTGGTGTTTGTTTTGTGGCTGCTGGAAGTGGAAATGCGAACAATGGTGGAACAGGTAACTAATGCTACAAGTTCCTGATAAGGAATGTGATTTCTAAATAATTAAAGCAATATTAGATTATTTTTATTTAATTATCGGTTCTGTAATTATGGAAGCTATCCAATTCATTTAGCTCCCACCTTAATGAAGATCGTTTGGAAGATAAACTTTTTGACATTAAAGTACGTTTAGGAATAGGGGGAAAACTGAACAATGTAGGTATAGACGTATTGAGTGGCCCGTGTAACTACCATTACTATTTGATAAAGAACATTTATGTGAAATGGTTAAAATTTTTGAAGTAACTAACAATTAGTTGAAAAACGTCTTCTTCCAAGGTAAACTCTTACATAATTGTCTAACTGATACTCGTCTATCACCCTTAATCTATAAAAAGTTGACGATTGATTGATTTTCACTCCGAGACCAATCGAAGTGAGCTGAAATTGAAATAATTAGGCCTTTTATAATAATTATTATCATCGTTAAATTCAAACCTGCCATTCAAGCATTGTTTAGTAGATCGGGAGTAGAAAAAAATCAGAATTTTGGAGTTATTTAAATATTGACTCTTAATTTACCGTTACCTCTGCTGATTGAAATTTCCAAAATTTCCAGATCTTGAACCTCATCTGTTATTTCGAAATACTGCGAATGATTTCATTAACTTTTTTAATGTTATCTTCTTAACTGAACACAAGAACCTACCTATACATATATTGACCAAAAAGGAATTATGGAACTTATGTTAACACCCAAAGACTACATAAAAAGTTTGGGAGTGGTCCAAAAATATATGCTCGAATATATCTAACTGCGGAAAATTTTGTTATCTATGAGGAAAATAACATTTACTTTATTAACTTGAAAAAAATTATGTTCTATATTTGTTTTGACATATAGGCTTAATACAATCAATTTTTTTATTCGAAGGGAAATCCCAATCACAATTTGTCTGGGGATCCACACCATGATATATTTACGTATATTGTAACAAGTTTTGCCAGTATCTTTTTTTATTTTCTTAAGGTGTTTGTATAATTTTATCCAGAATTTACGTTCTACAAAAATTTTAATTTGATTTTTGTAAAATTAAAACGTAAATTCATCTATGGTCTTTTTTTAAACAATTGTTGGTTTTTAACTTCTATAGAGACCTCTATGTGTACCTATATAGTCTATATACGTCAAATTAACTTTTACACGAAATTTTCAATTCATACTTTTCTGAATTATACTGAATTAATTTATGCATTTCACGTTTTTTTAAAAGTTTATTACTGGACATAAGTGCACATCTCAAAGTGTTTAGATGTTTATTTTTAGAAGATATATCCCCACCCAAAGGTCTTGAATGAGATTTATCCTTCAAATACTTCTACTTTCATATTGAATTTATGTCCTGTTAACTTTATAGTTGCAAAGAAAAATTGATATAATCAGAAAACACCCTATTCAATATGGAGTTTTATTTCTTATTTAAAGTTGGTGATACTCCTGAAGTCCCTCCGAATGACTTCCTGCTTCAGCACAACCATGTTCCACATCGGCCACCATTCCAAAACTACCGATCACACTCTCAGGGTTTCCAGCACAGTCCACAGTTTCACCGCGCTCATGGAAACTTTCCTCCAGATTTTGAACACGACCCTGGATTACACAGCAGTCACATTCATCCACCAATACATAATAGTCCATACCATCACGATGGTAGAGAAACCAACAGCCAGGACAGAGGACGTGAAACGGTTCCTGAAGACGTGGAAACGACGTATTCCAATTCTTCAACAACGGTAAGACGATATTTCTGATGAACAATATATTTTTATTGAATCATGTTTGTGGGTGCTTTATATATTTTGACTGTGGTCAACAGGTACGATAACTTTTGTTCAGTAGATAGTTATTTTAATTTTGGAGCACTAGCACCACACCGTAATGGTAGATAATAATGATATAAAAGTGTAAACTTTCACGACCGGAGATGACTATGTGGTTTTTAAAATGTGATAATATGGTTCTGTTTTAATGTGAAGAGTTCAAGATTAGCGTGAAAAACATAGAAAATTTTATTTATCATTTCTCATGATGATCTCCCACGTAGCTACATCCATGAATTCATGTTCAAGATTAGGTTATACCTAGGTTTGACTACATCAAAAACTAGTGTCACGCTCTAAGGTAGGGTGTTGAAAATACAATCTCAGTTTCAAGCTATGAATCATGCATACATTCTTAAACGCATATCAAATTATATATTATCAAAATAAACAAAGTTTTGCGTTTCTGAGGTGAAAATTATAGTGTTTCAAATGTCTCAACAAAACAAGTACCAATGAAGAATAAATCAACAGTGAGAATAAAGTAATTTAAAAAATTGCTGCAGTGCTTGTATTGTAACTTTCAAATTCGCCTTTTGGTAATTTTCTTGTGTCGTAAAATCATTATAATTTTTCCTACCGGTTGTATCGGTAAGTCCCTGTCCCCGAAGAGAGGAAACTACCCACAACTACCCAATCTCGAACCAACAAGTAAGTGATCATTAGACGAAATGAGCCGAGAGTGACAGGCTTTATGCATTTTTGTGGCAAGCTGGTAAGATATTGAGATTCGAAAGTAGGGAGGGGATCATTCCCCTAAAGTCTCCAAAAATCAGAACTGCCATGTTAACAGAGGTCTGGGTAGAGTCCTATAGGGTTCACTCCAAAAGAATATCTCGGGCAATAACTTCTCATAACCCACAACAGATTCAATATCCCACGAAACACATGTCAACACCGGTTTGTCATCAATACTGCAAAACAGCCAAAGATGGTAATGGAGCACATTCAAGGCCGCGGTATGTTGATGGATATAGGCTGGCTCCCAACTGTTGGACATGTAGCGGTAGGCCTTGCACCTTGGGTCAGGAACCTTTAAACCTCAGACGACTACGGTAGACTAAGTTAAAAAGACACCAATCTGGCAGTCCATTATGAATTCACTCGATCCTCAGAAAAGCATAGGTCACATGCATCAATGTTTTGGAAAACCTCATGCATCGGCTTATATCCTTATGTAGCTGCGGGTCTGACGTGATCTCTGCGGCTGCGGTCGTTTGCTGAACGGGTTCTCCCCATGCCCCACCCGGGAATGAGTGCCCTTAGATATAATCTTTCTCACACTGTGTGCAAAAGCTAGAATCTCGCCCATCCACCCCTACTAATTCTTGAGTGGAACTCAACCTGCTGATGGGCACTTCAGCAAGATTGACATCTGACCTGCTGCGGTCGAAATTCAGCTTTTAGGTGCTTTCACTCTCGTCTGTTGATTTCGAAATATCGTGATTTTACTGTGTGTAATGTTTGCGTAGGGGTCCCCTTAACCTTACCGGAGACAATTGTCTATAGATCGCGAACTATGTGTGTATCTGTAAGAAAGTGTGTGTTACTAATCTTTTTATAAAGTTTTTAGAGCCGCCTGACGGCAACTTTCGGCGGTGGTCGTTGAGAACGGGTTTCAATTTGATGACAGAATTGTGGTCACCTCGTTCAGTGTCGAACACTTGCCCAAGTTACCCAGGAGAGCTACCTTGATGAGAAATGCTCCAAATGTCTGCTCTCTCATAGTCGTGAGAAGGGAATCCGAATATTCATTAGAAAAGTTATAAATCTCTTCCTTTACCAGAATTTGTAGATTTGTTGAGTAGCAAAACTCAAGTCTACAAAAAAGCGCTTATTTGTCAATGAAGGGATTTCGAAAAGGATTCAATTTCTTTGAAGAAAATCCCTTATGCCAGAAAAATATGTTTTTCAACTGGTGCTGTATGTAAACTTGGAATACGATTATTTTGGAAAATAATACCTTTCAGCTTGCTTCATTTAGATTAAAAATTTCGCCAGCTACATTAATTATTAATTAGCGATTTGAAAGGTCTTGTATAATATGTTGGCAATAATGGGCTCGTAGGTCAGGGAACAAGACCCCAAAATAAATTATTGGTGTCCTGTTTGTTTTTCATTCAACACATTCGGATAATTATTCATGCCCGAAAATGGAGCATATTTGGTTAGTATAAAGAATTTCACATATATAATGCATGTTAAAATCCCCGATGTATGAAATGATTTATTCACTTGGACAGGTAAACTCTATAAATCAGTTTCTCAATTTTACATTGGTCGAGGTTACGTATACTCGTACAATAATATGATGTATGCTTTCAGTTTTTATTTATTGAATAATGTGCATCACTAGCAATATTCAACAACGAAGATGCATTGGATAATGTTTATCAGTAGAGAAAACAAGCTGGCCAACAGAAAGACTACCCACCCATTATCGAAAATTGATTAATTACAGTTTGTGATGAAATTTTCGCAACGTGTTTTTCCATCATCTACGTTCGATTTTTCTCTCTTCTCTTGAATATACATATTATTTTTCAATCGTGACGTTAACTGGTTTATAGTTTATTACGAAAAGGAAGTTTTGAAATGTTTTTCCAGTCACCTGATCGTTACTAATTCGCATGGGATTTTCTGACGATGATCATCAACGATATCAAAGTTCTTCCTATTTGGAATTTATAGTAGTTACGTGAGCACAAATATGAGGTTAAATGCAGGTTTCACTTCGAATACAAAGTGGACCAATATCCTTTAGTATTGGTCATAGTGTGTGAATAAGGTTTTAAGCATCAATAATGAGGTTTGCCTTACAATGTTAATATTCAATAAAAACTTTATTTTAGGTGTATCAGAAATGTTATTTTGAGGACGAAACAAGGCATATTTCCGTAATGGATCATTTTCATTACTCATAAAATATACTGCCTGCTTCCACGTCTGATTAAAATAGTTAGTTGCTTACCTTGACAATGCCATGAGATTTAAGTAGCTCAAAGATTAACCACAAAACCTGCAATTAGTAAGTGTCGATGGGCAAATAATTGGATTGAAGCAGATTGTTAGCTTCAAGGAATTTCAGTAGTGGCGGTTTATAGTGTGGCGCCGAACAAAAAAATCCGATGAATCACGTTCTCTGTATTAGTATATTTTACACTAGATCTTGAATATCTAATTTTGGGAACTTCAATTTTGTATGCACGACTCATTTTTTATTCACACTAACGATATGACTTACATGTGTCGTTCCTTTTGGTTGATAAATAATTATTTGCATTCTTTACAAACAAAAACGTCTTCAAATCAAAAAGTATGTAGGTAAATACATTTGTGATCTTCCAAACTTCCTTCAGATAATCACATTTTACCCAATACTAATTTGAGTACTATCAAAATTCAAAAAATCCACAAAATAATCAGAAAATATTGATAATTTTCAGCATAAATTAAAAGTTTCCTTTTTTTTTCAGATACCATTAGATTTTATAAAGAATATCAGCGAGTACAGTGTTAATGATCTCCTCCTCAACTTCGTAGAGGGTGGCATGGATTATGACGACGATGACGGCCCACCATTTATTGGCAGTAAGTATTTTACTATAAGGGTCAATGTAGAATTCATTTTGTTGAATTATCTCTCAAAAATATGATTTACTTTTTTTTACACTCAACAAAATGGCGAATATACAGTCCAGTAGGCCCTCTTAAAATTCAAAGTTGAAATTAGAGATTTTGATGAACTCATTTATACTACGGTCTTCCAACTTTGAGAATGGCTTAACTTTGAAAATTGGTAATGGCCATCTTGTTGAGGCTACATCTGTCAAATTATTGTCATTTATTCAGTATGTTTTGCCAAATCACCGTGGACGGATATAACCTTCGGCAACATTTTCAACGATGAGGCCCATTTCTGGATGAATGGGTTCGTACACAAACAAAGTTATCGAATTTGGGACGATACTTATTCACATGAGATCCAAGAGCGTCTAATGCATCCCGAAAAAGTCACTGTTTGGGATGTATTTTGGGCTGGCGGCTTCATCGGTCCATATTTCTTCGAGAACGACGTTGGCCAGGCCATCAATCGCTAGCACTGTAGGTCGATAATAACCAACTTCTTTTGGCTTGAATCGAATGATCTGGACACCAACGACATGTAGTTTTAACAGGAATGCGCTACCTGCCACACAGCTCATACCAAATTGAATATTCTGCACAAGCGATTTGAGGGCAAGGTCATCTCCCATGGAGGGGATGTGAACTGGCCACCGAGACCATGCGATTTAACACCATTAGACTTTTTCTTGTGCAGTTTTCTCAAGTCGCAGGTGTATGTCAATAAGCCACAAATCGCAGCGGTCCTCAAAACCAACATAACCCATGCCAGAGTCATGGAAAATTGGACGTTTTGGTTGCGCTCCATACAGAGGAGTCGTGGCCGACATTTGAACGATGTTATATTCCACACATAACGGCATTAATAGGTCTTTCAAACGAATGAAAAATGTCGATGATATCTCACACAAACTTTGTTATATTTAAATTTGAAGATAGGAAGCCCTTAATGAAAGACTGTATATAAGAATCAATTTTAGCAAATATTTAAGAATGAAATGATCATAAAACTATTCACTAGAAACAGGAATCTAACTCACGACCTACAACACATATTTTCCGAAGAAGTTAGGTTTGAGCAATGAAAATAAAATCAGGATCACCTGTTTTGGAAATGAGAATGCATTTTCCTATTTTAAGAGAATTGGAAAACTTACCACGCAATACATACAAACTAATTATATGATATAATGATTTGGCAATGTACTGTCAAGGTTTTTTTTCAAGAGAGTTTGCGGTGGTGTAAATAGTAATAATTCTGATTTAAACAAAAATGTAAATATCTTTAGACTTAGAACGCAAAATACCTTGTGTGATTGTTGGCTTTGTAACAATTGCACATAATTTACATTCCAAGTGTACCAAAAGTAATTTTAAATTATTATAAAAAGAGACAAATGGAAAATGTTTAAACTTACCTGCTCATTTGAGCTTGGTGTGCGTAATATGTCAAGATTATTTTTGAAAAAAGGAAACAATATAAACTCAAAAAACATCCAAATTTCAAAATGTATGTGAAATATCTCAAAATTATTTCAAGTTCCGAAAATTATAATCAATATTGATGTTAATAAGGTGCTTGTCATAGGCAAAAGCTTCCTATTGTTCAACCCTTCATGGTTTTCATACGTTTAGGAAAATAATCACATTCATATACTTATTTTTTCCACTTTTTAACGTTTTTCCAGTCCATGAGATACTGTCAACTCAGTGAAATAATCTAATTAGTTCATTATCGTTTACATGAAATAGAATTCTTGATAGAGAACAAGTGAAATGAAACAACTAATCAATTTTTGATTATATTACAAAAATCAATATATAAAACCATCTCGCTATTCATCCATTTATGAATCAATGATTCAATTGAACTTCCTATCAAGCACATTCTTGTGGCACATTATAAATCACAATTACATTATTTCCGAATCAGATCTTCAAAGTTTTCTTATCAATAATAGTCTCGCTCAAATGGGAGATCACTGGGCACAATTTTATTTACAAAAGTCTTAAGACTATCTAGCTTCAACAAAAGAAATAATTAAACGAGTCGATCAAATCAAGTCAGACTGGAAATTGTGGAATGAAAAGTAAAATAAAAGTAAATAAAATCAAAATTGAATAGATGAACAGTTGGAGTTGTGAAAGAGCGTTATCTTCTCTTTAGTTTTCACTCATCTTTTTCCGTTATCAACTCACATTTTCAATCTTAGTTGAGCCTTCATGTAGTATATTTTTCATTTCATTAAAAACATTGAGGAGATTGATAAACACATTCAAACTTTTCAGTGAAATTTCACACCGCATATTCAGTTTGATGGTATAGTGTGAATCTGGATATTAATTTTGTTGCCCCCCAAATACACGTAATCACTCCATCTGGTCATCGAACGGACAAGAAAAAAAAAACCTAAAAATGTTTGATAGACACTTGTCTCAACGTACTGGAATCAGAATTTCACAACTCAGCAACTTGATGAGTCGAATTTGGAACTTTTGGCATGAAATCAATCTATCGAAAACACTTTTTACTCATTAGAAGCACATTTCTCGTTACGACATCGCCTGATTGATAGTTAGTGAAATGCGCGTTTTTGTTCTGGTGAGGAAAAAGTGTTTTCAATCTACTCTCAATAATTTTGATCTTCCAGGAATTCCACCTTCCAGATAACACTTAGTAGTAACATTCTTAAACTTTTGGAAACTTGTCCTCACACAAAGACAACTTGACTAAATCCTATCAATTGAAAACGTATGTTTTTAAAATCATAATCTAAACAACTTTCAAACATTTCTAGATATTTTTCATAAATATCAGGAGCTTATCAAATTACAAAAATTTCAATTTTTTACATAATCTTTGGCTATTTTTGACAGATTTTTAACTAGGTATGGACAATTGTTTTCTTTAAATGATTTTTAATCTTCAATTTTTTTTTCAAATTGAATAACACAAAGAAAATAATTTGACAATATTAAACACTCATTTACCAAGGCAATTTTGGATGAATAAGTCAATTCCAAGTTTAAAATGATGGGTAGTATTTCTAGTCTCTTGATTTTGTGATAAAATCTGATCAGATAGAATATTCTCAGATTCACGCAATCAACTAAACATCTTTGAAATAATTTCAATTCAAGTAATAGCTAGATGATTTTTCACACAAAGAAAAACACTTGTCGAATGTCTTTCAGATGATTCAATATTAAAAAAATTCCAATTATTTCGATATTTTTCTGATATATTTTAAATTTTTTTCAAACTTTTGTATTTTTAAGAACATCTTTTTTTTATTTTAAATATGTTTTTGAAAATATTCGGACAATAATTGTTGCAAACTTCGAAAAAATGATATAGTGTGGCTGCGATTCCAGACATTTCTGGAGCCTTTGAAACATTTTCAACTAGGAACCGATTTTGTTAGAACATATTTAAAAAATTGTAGATAGTATAAACAAATTTTGAGTTCTAATCTTGAACCCTAAAACTCAATATTTAAATATCTCTAGCAGAAACTAAACTGCGAACTGTTGATAAATCTCCTACAAAATTGATTAATGTCATTAATTTTAATCCAATTTTATTTCTAACAATTCTCAAAAGCTTTTGATGTAACTCGTCACCATTTTTATATATTCAAGTAATATAAAACATCAACAATTTTCAGAACGATTTTTCAGACTATCTGTTTATTTCAGGTTTTTTCATAATTTCAACACTTATCCACAATTTCCAATCCAAACAACATAATAGGAAAATATTATCAATTTGAAATAGGAATCCAACAAAATATTGTTGATACTTACACGAAACCAATTCGTCAGGTACTTCACGAAAATAAATTCCCATCAAAGTTTGGCAATGTCCTGACATCCAAAAACCGTTAATCACAATTTGCTATCAAATTATCAGATAATGCCATATTCATGAACAATTACGAATATTTTATAAAATTTTGGTTCTTTCAGAATATATTTTGGTCCCTTCGGGCAATTATTGAACAGTTTTTAAAGAGCTTTTGGAATTTTCAATTCCCAGTTTCAATAAATATACAAAAGTCTAAGGAAAGAATAGGGAATCAACATACTCACAGCATGTCTTTGTAGGTCCAGACAATTTCAAAAATTCACTCATTTCTATTTATACATTCTGGTAAATTATGATCTTCCAGTTTAATCATTTTTAAAAAATTGGAACATTTTTCCAAATTTCAATTTCTTCACGTTGTTTTAATTTTGACAGACCATATATTTCATATTTCTGTAAAAATGCAACGAAATTGTCTGTGCCTTTCGCCTACACAGAAAATAACTCTAAATCTATCTAATCATATCAATACAGTTCCTCAGATTTCACAAATAAGAAAATTCTATCATACACAATTTGCACTGAACAGGTACGACCAACAAAAATAATTGCAAAACAAGATACACACCTGCAATGTTCGTCATAGGAAACATAAACATCTAATAATCAACAAACAATTGCACTAAACCTATCAATAACCGATAATAAATCAACAAAAAAACTCTACGGGGATCACGATCCACGTGAGGTAGATTATAGAGGCAATGAATTTTCAAAAAGGTAAATTGCAATTCAAAAAAATTAATTTGCAGGATAACAAATAACTCGAATTTTTTGTTTGAAAGAATGTGTTAGTGACTAGATTCGAACTGAGTACAATTCAAGTGAGAAAAGTTTTCAAATTCAATTCTATGATTATATCTGAAGTAAACAAGACTGATAATTCAAAAGTATGTTTTCAGTACGACTGATTTACATAGAGCTATAAAATATAAATAGATTCAATTTGATAGGATACCTATTGGTCTATCAAACACACCTCTTGGTAACTACAGCTGCCAGACTGAGTCATGGCGGGTGAGAAGCCCCTTCCTCAATACAATAAGTATGTATGTACAATTTATCCCACCGGCCATGACTCAGTCCGGTACCTGTAATAGAAACCCTCCCCATTTTCAATCGCTTCAATTTTCACTTAACAAAATGCCCCTCACCAAAAAAACAACATCGACAAAACCTCCTACCTCACATGGATTGCAGGCCCAACTCGACATCGATAGAAAATTTTACGCGAAAAGTTCAGTTCTCCTGCTCTTCGGCTTCGAACTCCTTCATCAGGTTTCGCCGACACTTGTTGTTACCCTCGTATATAATCAGGTAAATGGTGTAGTCGGTGCAGTTCGTAGAAGAATACGCTATACTCAATTTACAGGGCCTTCGCCATTTCGTCTCTGCTTGCAGTTTTTTTAAACTCGGCTTGTGAAATTCTACGGAGCCTTCTGATACAATGTACTTCAGTTTTTGGGAAGGCGTGGTGATGGTATCGTATTCGTCTGCAAATTATTGGACTTTCATTTACTCAAATGTCAGTGAACAATCAAATTTTGTGGTCTGCTGACCTGCTAAACCTATTTAGCATTTATAACCCCTAAGGTATTACTACACATTCTCAAAAAAAATGTATCGGTTAACCACTATCAAATTTCAGCTGTGAAATAAAGAACTAGCAATTTTGATAGTTTTGTTGGTAGATGGTGGGTTAATGGGTTTCAATGGCTTGAGTACATTCAATAACTATCATTCAAGAACTTGGTAGAAATTCGGGAGATACTATTTCAAATAACAGAATCGTTAGTTGGTAACTAGAACAGCTAAATTTTCTTAGTTTGCTCAGCCAGACAAAAAAAACTCGTCCCAAGTATTGTATTGTCTCTTCAAAAAGTTAGCCTCTTATTTTATTCATGTAACATTTTAAATCAAGTGTCATTTAAAATAGAACAAATTTTGCGAACAATCGTTTTTAATATGGCGAACAAATGCATGAGTCAATTAAATTCAAACAAATAAATTTTTAGTTGAATAAATTGAGGAATGAATATTTGTGACAATAAAAAGTAAAACGGCGTTCCATATCGACACGTGTTTCGATCACCAGGTGATCATCTTCAAGAGGAAGATTAAACTAGGTAGCAAGAATACAGGTCATATATACAAAATAAAACGGCGTTGAAACTAGACAACTTGACTTTTATATGAACTATTGCCGCGAGATAGCGCTGCAAAACTCAAGGAAAACAAAATGTTAAAATGTCACCTTGTGAATTTTATTTTTCATGTAGGAATTTGAAAACGGCGTTCCATATCGACACGTGTTTCGATCACCAGGTGATCATCTTCAAGAGGAAGATTAAACTAGGTAGCTAGAATACAGGTCATATATACAAAATAAAACGGCGTTGAAACTAGACAACTTGACTTTTATATGAACTATTGCCGCGAGATGGCACTGCAAAACTCAAGGAAAACAAAATGTTAAAATGTCACCTTGTGAATTTTATTTTTCATGTAGGAATTTGAAAAACTGTTTCATCCATATCTAAAATCAGACAATTTTTAGGCGTCATAATTCCGTTTCAATATAATATATGTTAATGTTCTTGTAGATCTCTTCAGAAGTTTCTCCACATACTGCAAACGAGGTGACTTTTCCGGTGGTCAAATGGTATTGAAACTCATTTAAAAAGAATTGAAAGATAAAGGGTCCAAGAAAAGATCCTTGATGTACTCCTAAATTGACTGTATTTATCTGAAAGTCATTGCTCTAATTTGCCACGGAGCCTGATTATCATGAATGTCAGGCTCCGTGGTGTTGAGGGTGTTTTGATGAATGTTGATAACACATTTTCGTTTTTAAATAAAAACTTGCCATGAAAAAAATCCAAAAATTTTATGGGATACTTTGAAATATACGCTTTTCACAGCTACAGTTTCATGTAAACTTATATTATGAATCCAATCAAATCACAACTTTCAATTAATTGACAGAAACTCACCTTCCACAGTTTCCGAATTCATTTCAGCAAAGTCCCCCGCGAGCGTCTTCATTTTCTTGGCGGGCGAAGTGGGAAACTCCGACACCTCCTGGTTTACGCTATCGCTTTCTCTTCTCTCCCTCGGCGATCGATGACGACTCGTAGAAGCTATTGACTGCTTCTTCGGCGTTTTCGTCTGGTTTTTCGGTAGGAAAGTCCTTGGAGGGCTCATCAGACCGATCGGTATCACTTTGGGTTCCCTATGATTGAACAAAAATTTTGTTTAGAGATTTATAAATCTGCTATTTGTGTCAAATAAGTTTAAAACCTCTTATGTGATACAATCCAACACCTCAAAAATAAAATTTGACTATCTGCTCATACTCTCCCCAGATGAAGCCAAACTATTAGAGTCTGTCTATTCGACAAAAAAATAATTCCTCCAAAACATTTTTTTCTCATTAACAAATATACCTTTCCCCCTTTTGGTAAATTTTGAGCAGATATAATCAATTTACTGAAAAGTAAAAACAATAATAACTTAATTAGCAGCTTACTCACTTTGGCACTTTGATAATGTGAGTATCTCTGAAACCTATCTTCTTCGCAGGCACAGCATCGGACAGCAGATGATTCACTGAAGCTAACGTCTTCTTCAGAAATTCGTTAACTTTTTTGTCTCCTCTGACTGTCTGTCCGAACCAATCCAAAACCACATTATCAGCTAGGTAATACTTGAACAGGTTTTTATGATTCTCTATTTTGTTAATGTAAAACTCTCCGAAAGTTTTAGCTTCCTTCATGTCTGCATCCGTGAAATCCATCATCAATGATTGATGAAAAGTTCTGAAAAACGAACACTGTTAAAATTATACTTCAATAAATTACAACTGATTGGAAAGTTATTCATAGTTTGATATAAGTCTTTAAAAATTATTGTAAAACTTGTATTCATTCTATTGTGATTTGGAATACCAGAAATTCAACACTGTGAAAAAAATTGTCAATAAAAAAGCCAAGCAACAGAAAATTAACATTCCCGATAACATCAATAAATGTTTTCAATCTCTATGATATTACTTCAATATTGTATTATTCAAACTTGAATTTTGACTTCCATACCTTTTTCAAATTAATTAATACAATTTTAATATAATAGAAGTGATACCAATCACTGTTTGTATGAGGAAGAGAAAAACTATTATTGGAGTTCTTTACTAAAGTAATAGAACCCAAAACAAAATTCTTAGATTTCATGTCTGTGCATATGTGCGTGATAATTTCTAAAGAAATTCAACCAATGTGGATGCGGCTTTCTCTTGTGTATTGTGGTAAGCCTGAATTACCATATTGTGTTTGATTTTTTTTCAATCAATTCATAAATAAAAAAAAGTTACGATTTTCTTATGAAATACGATAAGCAAATACATGAGAACACTTTGCTGTTACAAAATCTGGGGGAAAAACTGAAGTCCACACAAAGTAGCGAGCTAGTACCTACTCGTTTCCAGTTTACTTGGATAAGGTTTTTCCGAGTTTTCATGCAGCTGAAAAAGCAAATGCGCCAATGTAATCAATAAAGTCGCTCCGGAGCGCCAATTCATTTTTGTTGTTGTTTTATAATTTCATAATTTGTTGTTATTTAAATTTATTTTCAATTTAGTGAACTTATAACAACAAATAGAAATAAACATATTCTTGTAATGTTTATCATTTTCACAAAATTTTAAAATTACTTTTGATACATATATGTAAATTTTTTCTCGTCACTTAGAATAATAGAGATTTCTGCCTATCAAAATTTATTCAATACATTATGATATTCATTTTTGTTTTAGGCCGATTTGGAGACGACAATATCGCCAGAAGTGAGTACCCAGGTGGGTGGTGGTGGTTTAACTATTTTCTCCTTGCTTTTTCTTCCCAGAATATAAACTTACTAAAATTGAACTTTGACTGCATGGTGAAGAAAGCTGTTCTACAATCTGCAAAATACATTGAATACAAATCTAATTTCTACATAACTGAATAATTATTAAACAAAAATGGTGTAATCTTCTCAATTATGTTTTATATTCATTTGATATCCTCAATGCTGTGCAGATTTTTTGATCAACTTTCATGACCTGTACCTCTACTAATAAAATACCAAAATACTCATGTTTCAAGTATGAATGGTTAGTTCAAGGGTTAAGATTTCAGTCCCAGGTACTTCCTCGATGCTCTAGGTAATTATGACGGTGATTAGAGTAAAGAATTAAACTTTTAGTATGTTATTCACTACGAAAAAGCTTCTGTGATAGCAAAACATGTGATATTTTTGAAAATAAAGTTTGTGAAGAACAAATTGTTAGGTTCAATTTGTGAAATTGATATTTGTTGTCGATATATTGGGTAAAATTAAAATTGCCATTACCAAAACAAGAATATAAAGACATTTTTCATAGGTATAGTATTTTGAGACTTTTTAGATAGGAATATAGGTACTGTCGAAGCATCATTGTATACTCCAGATCATTCACCATCCTATGGAATAGCTTTGTTTTAAAGTTGACTGAAAAATCGTTATTGTGTTCAATGTCAATTAATATAAAATTTGAAATTTTCATTATTTAAAGTAAAAAATGTTTCATACAAATTTGAAATATATTCACTAGATAACAACAAAGTGTTCCAGATCTTCAAAGAGTCACTATTTACCTTGCCATCAATGATATTTTTGAAAATGATTTTCCTGAAAAATTTATACAAAATAACAAATACAATAACAATCTGAATTTTCTTATTCTGAACTAGAGTAGATGTAAAGATTTAATGTTCATCTTTATTCACGTAAACGTTCATTTATGAGTCAATTATTTTGGGTCTCAAAGAGGAAAATGTGTTATAAAAAAGTATTACCAAAAATGTATGCAAATTAGTACAATAAAATGAATCAGCCACTCTTACCAGCTGAAAATAAGTATTATTAAAACCAGCATCATATATTTTTCTTGTAACCAACTTGCAACATAAACCTCCCTATGAGCAAACCATTATTAAATTATCATATAGATACATTTATCTTGTTTCAATATTAGTCAAGCCTGAAGAAGCCGTTTCATACTGAAAAATGTATTATGATAAGCAGTCTATATGAACATATTGAAATAAGACCTTTTCAAAGAGTCAATCATAGATTTTCATCTATCTGAAAGATCAAGTGTCAAGTTCGTTAAATCAATCCAATCTATCTCCACCGTTAACTTGTTACAGATGCAGCAATTCTTCCAAAGAAAGCAGGATGTATTCCAGAATACAGAACATTAAAACTAGCAAGTACTGACGATCCTAGTATTTTATATATCCCCCAATGCACAAGGATCGAGCAATGTGGGGGATGTTGTAACCATGCCTTGTTAGAATGTCAACCTATCGAGACCGAAACTCTGGCCTTCCAGGTAAAAACGAAACAATACTGCACCGTTGACAACATATAACCTCAAAAATTATGATTGCAGGTTGTGAAAACCCAATACACAGGAACCAAGAAGTTGAAAATCCTCGGAAAAGAAATCATCCCTGTGGAAAAGCACACAAAATGCAAATGTGATTGCAAAATCAAGGCAGAGGTAGCTACACTGGTGATTATTTACACTTTCTCATTTACTAAATAACTGAAAACTTACACTTCTCACTCAAAACCCAAGCCCCACCAGTCATAAGTCGCAAGTTTCAAGTTGTAAGGATTCATGTTGGTCAATTGCAAGTAATATCATCACATTTGTAGTAGCGAGACTGTGAATTCATTTTAAAAGAAGATTGAAATAATGACAGCACAACCATTTGAATATTGAACAGTTATACAAGTATTTTTTGGCAGATATTTGAAGATCCTGCTTTGTACAAACATCGGAAGAGGTAAATCTTTGAAATCTCGGTTTGAAACGTTAAGAAAATAATTATTTTGAAATAAAATTCAAGGCATTCATCTCTCCCAACGGCATGTACACTAGGATCTTGTAAAAATACCTGTCGGAAAACAATTACTTCGAAGCTAATACCAAGGTGAACATTAAGTCATATCTAGACATTTATGAAAGTTACCCTACAAGGGTTAATATTGCAGATACTTCTAGTTCGTATATCACCAGGTTCTCACTGAGAATTTTATTTCATTAACTTACGACTTAGGACTAGTACATAAACCAACCTCTAAACTTCTCACAAAATAAATGAGTTTGTTTCACAGCACTGTAACCAGTACCAAGAATACAAACCCGATGAATGTAGATGCACATGCAAAAACACTGACGAGGAACAAAAATGTCGCAAAAGTGGTTCGAAAAAGCTATGGAATCCTGAGCTCTGTGCTTGCCAATGCAAAGACGTTATAATTTGCACAACAGGCTACTACTTCGACCAGAATGATTGCAAATGCTCTGCATCACCTATGAGGAGACGCTATGCAACGTACGAAACAAAAGGATCCAATCCTGAAGATGTAGCGATTATTCCACTAAAAGATGACAAATACTAATGTGACAACTTGATAGTTCACATCATTATTGTAAGACATTGTGATATTCCTTACTTACCTAAGTTTTATTTTTGTATTAAACGTATTTGAAGTATCCTTTTCAATTAATTCCCTTTCTAAACAGATTACGACCGATATATGGTTTCTTCTTAACCATAGGTGATAAATTGATAAGGGTTCAGTGGATGAACAGCAACCTAAAACGATGGACGTTTGTCAAGCTTTTCTTTTGAAAATTGCACAACGTTACCTTGAATAGCTTGTAAATGTTTTCTTGAGCTTTATTGCCTCTGACAGCTGTATACAAACTACCACCATGTTTTTCATAGCCACCTTGCGATTGTTTCAGGTCCCAGGTTGGTTCGTTTTTCACTTTTTAGGTCGATTACACTAGTTTTCGGGGTAAATCACTTGAAATGTTTTAAACAAAGGGTAGCAACAACAATACTGTGTGTATTGGTTATAAAAATGTCCCTGAACTTTCAAAATGGCGCTGGTAGCGTGTGCGTCATATGAAGGTGTAGTAATTGGCCGATAGATAGAGGTGATTTTCTTTTGTAAGGTCTCTGTAAAAGTAATGGATTTGATTTTGTATCAGAAATTAAATAAAATATTCACATTATTCTTCCCTCTATCTTCCAATTCAGTTTAAATAATTCAGTTTAATTTTCTCTGAAATATATAGTTGATATAACGCTAATTTCAAGACGTTATGTGCACACAAAAACAGTGTTCTGTATGTTACCTCTAGAACCCAAACTGTTACTACATGCGTTCGTGTATAGATGTCGAAACTGTGCTCAAACCGGATTCAATATCCTTCAACCCAAATACTGTCACGGATTTTATGATATAAAAAAAATGACCAATCAATTCTTAGAAATTCTTTGGCCTGGACTCCAAGAATTAAAAATTGGGCTGTTTCAAAGATGTTGTATTTCCAAGAAGACAAATTAACTTTTTATAAACGTCCTTCACTAGATACACGTGTAGATTTTTATAAACAAATTAATAGGTAGGTAGGTAGGTGTTATAGTTGAGTATACTTGAGTATATATGAACTAGAAAAATAGAAACATACAATAATGAATAATCTGAAACGAAATTTGTTGTTCTATCTTTGGCTGTTGTATTCAAATTCAACCTTCTAATTTATTAAGTTTTATAAAGTATCATTACGAGGTCTTGCTTTTTAACATGCAATTCCTAATGTAATATATATAATTTTTCTTGAAATTTGTTTGTAAAAATGGCGAAAAAATTGACCAAGAAACATGATTTATTTGGTTGACATGTATGAATCTGAACAAATATCCCTAATTATTTCTAAGAATTAATCTCAATAACATAAAAATTGTAGGATACACAACTCTTTTTCACTTGAGTTACAAACGAACACATACCTTTTAAGAAAATAATTCAAAGAGTGCCATGATAATAATTTTCGATGACATGACATGAACGGAAAGTATTTGATGTTTTACATTGGCTTCTCTTTGAAATCTCTTATAAATTATTGTGCAGTGGGAATTTTGTGCGTGAATCATCTTCAATAAAGTGTAAATTAATTAAATTGAAACGAGGTAAGTAGATTTATCAAGTTTCACGATGTAAAAAACGAGAAAGACTTGGTGGACTTGAAAGCAGTTTGAACTTTTTTACATTCAGTTACCTAAACTCGCATTAAGCTCACATTGAGTTTTGAAAACTGATCTCATTTTGTATTTGAATGGAAACTACGTTGAAAATGATAAATAAGTATATTAGGAAACTATCTTCTCCAGTAGAAACTATTCAAAAACAAAAACGGGTATACAGCTTTATGAGCAAGCAACAAAATGCCAATCCGTGTAGACAAAGCACAGCTGAAATAATCAGAGTTTGCTGTGAAAACTCAAAATAACAAAACTTGCTCACAAATTCTTGGCGTTGGTGTCAAAATATTGTCATAATTTCGGCAATTTTATGTAATTTATTTCTGATTTTATAAGTATGAAAGTTTTTCGTTAACCGTGTTTTCTTCACAGATTTGGTGTTTCCATTTGTTGCTGTGTTCAATTTCGAATTGAAGTTACTTCCCAACTCAGCTGAGGGTGAGTCTTTGTTGATACATTTTCCATGATCAAGTTCAAGTTTCATTTAACAATTTCTTTTCATTGTGTCTTCACGTTTATCAATATAGTTGTCGAAAATTGCGGTATTTCGTGATACGTTTTCGTTACCTGTTGCATGCGGTTACAAATGAAAGTTTGGTTATTTTTTCTCTGGTTTCGAAGAGTTCTGGATTCGTTTTCAATAGATATTTATGATAGTTCATTTCAAAACTTTTGTGAAAAAGATTTGAGTATCGTATTTGATAGATTATTTCAAAACCAAAAGTATAAGATTAAACAAGTATATGAATTTATTTTCTGCTACCGGATGATAGTTTTATAAATTTCTCTAAGTGTAGCAACTCGTTTCTGTTTGATTTGGAGTTGAAATTGTTTGTTGTACCATTTTATATTTTTTCATCCCTGAGTTCGCACGCAAACCCCTTTGTCCTCAGCTACTCCGTCTTGAACCTTCAAAATTAAAATACAATTTCGATTACAACTTTACTTATTATTACTATTACTTCTAACATTCGCGAGAAAAATTCTTATTTCATCTGACGTAGCTTCCACATTTAGCATACCACTTTCATGGTGTGCCATGAAATTTGTGATTGTGTGTGCATGAATAATTGTTATACCGCAGTAGAAGCAGAATCAGTCACAGTATTCTTTATAATACCGCTAGCGATAATATCGATTTTTTCACAACGAAACCGTAATACAATTAGATTGCATAATATTCCGGCTCAATCCACTGCAGATGAAGAAGAAATTGCAGGAGAGGAGCGCCGTATTGAGTGATGTTGGGTCTACTGTTTCTGCAGTAGGTCTGCTATTTTGGCTCTCGTGCTAATGTTCTACTGTTTGAAAGTTGAAATCTATTAATGATTCCATTTACTTCAATAATAGTCATTGAATGATTGTAAATAGTGGAAGTTACCGTGTCCTTTTCAACCTCTTGGGTCAATCTACTGCTAGACCTGGCCACACTAGCCGTGTTAGTATGACCCGACTTCGTACTTCATCTACCACAAGCACTCCAAATCAGTCGCTTCAGAAAAAGAAACATTGCTTCAAAGTCTTGAGGCTGGTACATGAAACTACATTTCTGGATATTTTTTTCAAAAGGGTGGCATAAAAATTGTTAAAAGTGAATAAAGTTCCATTTCAAACAGCTTATTGTTCACTCTTTGAAAAAACTGTCTTCAAATTAAGAAATGATTGATGTATTATGAAAAGTAGTAAAAACGATATTTCGATTATGTCATAGTTGTCGAGAAGAGTGTCACAGTATTGGTCTCATGTGTTTATTTCTATATTAGTTGTGAAATATCAATCCATAGTATTCAGTTCCGGTGACCTAGCAGTCCAAGTAGTTCCTAACATGTGAGTTATTCTGTTACATTATTGTTTTGTGAAAAATTTTATATCTTTCAGTCGGGTCCTAGAGAATCGTGAACACGTTTTCTTTGACTGAAATGTATGTAGTGTCTGAAACTGAATTTTTAGCATATTCGGGGCAACACCGCCATCTTTCTTGACGATTTTTTACAACCGCGTAAGTAATTATTTCAATTTTTATTTCTGTCGACAATTCGCTCAAAGAACAAGGCAGTCTCGACCTCGGATTGACTCACAACAGAAGAACTACTTTCTGCCACTGCTTGCCGTATTGCCACTTGCTACTGCCGAGAAATTAAAAAATAAATCCCACTCAACATATACACGTCCAGCGCGATTTATTGCCGCGAAATGAACGCTACCGTGCAATTACGAAAAGAGAAAAAAAGGAAACGGAAAGGTAATTTATTTTTGGCGGACAGAGGCGCGCCTGGTTGTCTAGGAGCGCCATTTTGCAAAGTTTCAGTGCGTCTTCACAAAACATGATCGATTCGTAATTACATCCAGACGCAGAGTGTTATACGATATGATGATTGACAAGCTAGAATCCATTAAGTTAAACAAAAAGGAGTGTTCGTAAGGCTTTCAAAAACTATTGCAGATTATTAAAGAGCAGAAAATCTAGTGAAAAAGTTTATACTTCCAGACCTGTATCAACAGTATTCATGATTTCAATTGAGCGATAAAAATAAGGGTAAAAACGGGTGCTTCAACAAAAAATATTATTTCAACGCATCAAATAATAATATTGAGAAATAAAAGTTAATTAGGTTGTTGCTGGATAGTTTAATGAACAATAATTCATCGGCAAACACATTTTTATCGCCTCGTAATTATGCTATTAGAGTTATTTTTTATTGGAGGTTTCAGAAGAGATCTTTGCTGAATGAATTAAGAATAAAATAAATTTTTCACTGTTCATAAACATAAACATAATCAGTAGAGAGTTGTCCTGAAAATTATTCAAAAATGGTCTGGAGCAATATGGAATACGGTAATCTGGATTTCTTCGAATATAAGATCTGTTATTTTGTTTTTTCTGTGGCAGCTAGAAATTCTTATAGTATTTAATTTGGAAACAATTTGGAAACAAACATGATTTGAACCCTATCTTATTCGTACTTCCAACTCCGCATCATTGACCAGCTTCGCCTCATAAAATCTACTCTTTGAATTACTCGAAAAACAGTTCATGCAACTTAAGTTTAGAGATCAGGATGGCTACCGATCCGTCTGGCTGTGTCAAATTAATCCCGAACTGATTTGAAAAAGTTTTTTCCGAAATTTATAAATTTCTGTCTCCACTCTTATAATTCGATGACAAACCTTTTCTTATCAAACATTGACTTTTTGGGACCATTGAATAGGTAGGTCCTTCTTTAATCCAGACAATTCTGTCGGTTAATTTTTTTATATTCAATCCCTCTCTAAATTGAAATCTTGTGTCTGGATCACCATCAGATAAATTTCTGGAGAATGAATAGCCAGCCTATGAGAATGACATTAATGAACTTTCAGAATTCTTACTAACGACTTTTCTAGATTGGTAAATTTCTTAACTTCATTTTGCATTCGGATCATTGATATTTCAATTTCTTGTCTTTTTGTTTGATGAAGCATTTAATTTCACGATCATTTCAAGATAACCCACTGTCTCACTAGAAGACAGGGGCGTACCCAGCGTGGGGCAGGGTATAGCTGCCCTCCCTGGAATTAGAATTAAATAAACAGTATCAAATTCTGTTGCTGGAATTCATTACAATTCTTGAAATAGCTATTTTGATAGTCAAAAAAATGCTTATACTATTGAAAATTATGAAATTAGGGTTATTTATCGTTATTTCATTGCCGATCGAAATCATCGTACAATAATACATAATTAATTCCCATCGGAAAGCAAAAAAATAATACCATCCATGATAATAATAACGCAATGAATAAACTTATTGATATTATGAGAAAATGTTCAACAATGGTGAGTGGTCAACCTCCTGTTGGTCGTTCAGCAGAGAACCGAAACATTTATTTCAAGAGACTCCAACAGATTTAACTTCTGTCATTTAGCTTGTATGTAGAGTATATCGTACATAGTATTAAAATCGTGATCGTTCTCCAAAAGGTGGTATACATAACGTGAACTTGGTCCTCTTCAGTTTAAAACTTCTTTTATGTTCAGAGATTCTAGTTTCAAAATTTCTCGACGTTTTGCCAGAACGAGTGGCTGGCTTCTTCAGAGGTTTATTCATCTTCATGATTCAGTTCCAAACTACGACGGCCTTCAAACCCGAATGAAGATAGTAACACTGAATTCATGGAATGGTCATACATGAAGTTTAGAGATAGGTATACCTGAAAATTGTAGTTGCTGCAAAAGATTTTCGTGAAAATGTTCCAGTTGATGTAAACAGTTGAAAAGTGGTCACCAATAGATGATTGAAGAAAACAAACAAATTTTGTCATTGTATTTTTTCTTGTATCATATTTTGTGGAATTTGTTGTGATATCATAGTTTATGTTATAGCCTTAAGAGAGGAAACAGTTACACGTTGTTCTACAATACAATAGGCGTGTCCATACTTTTGTATGAACAGTATCAACACGTGTTGCGGTTTTGTGAATTGTTTACTGAAAATTTCACGTTAAAGTTTTTGGTTTAAGATAAGTAGAAAGTGTTCACTACAGTTTCTCATTTACTATTTAACAAAAATAACAATTTTGAATCACACAAAGAAGTAGTTTTCAGATACATACTGGAAGGAAGAGCTTTCTCGAAACAACTACTTTCATAAAAACACTGAATAACACGAAAGGAAAATACTTTCGAAACNATTCGAAACAGCCCCTGCCAGTTTGGGGACTACACATTACAGCATTTGGTCCACATTTTTCGCAATAGAAACTGGCTTTTGTCTGAATTTTTCTCACCCGAGAGGTATTCGATGGTCATGTAATGTTGGGCCTTTTAATTACTTGGTTGGCCAACGCTTCAGTGAAGTGCTGATGGTCCACTGGGCGGTCCCGACTTTTAAAGTAGTTGGAAGCCAAAAAAGCATTGGTTTCAACTATTTCAAAAATGGACCCAAACATTCTATGGACTCAGTTCTGGGTTCGCCAAATCTCTTCTAGTGCAAGTCAACTTTGCCGAATATGGTTGTGAATATCGACGGCTGGAGTACCATGAAAATAATCTTCAGTTATTTTAGGTCTTTCCACATTCTTATAAAAAACTTTTCCATCATCGTCATACCTTTTTTTGGCACATGGTGTGCCCTGAAGGGTAGTGCCATATGTGGCAATAAAGGAATGAACTTTATGGTTCCTCCAATATACCGCTAGAAGATCAACATCTTGATAATTTGCAGTGGGCAAATTATCTTTTCACTGATTCCTTCAAGGCAAAGTTGCGATGGTTTATTAATTGAATAGCCGTTTTTACAGAAGCAAACCAGGAATACCCAACAACTATTCTTCCAGTTCCATGCCATGCGTACATGTAGACGCAGCGGTCACTTGCAGACATCTTAGCTTGTACTGAAAGTAGAGTTGCCGTTGAAAAGCCTACACTATTTTCTATGTTTTTTTAGCCCATCAGCTTT